CTGTGGGGCAAAACAATTAAGGGTTGTTAGTTGAACTGAAAGGTGATTGGATGTATGGGTATAGATTAGTAGTAGTTATTGTGGTGGTTGATGGTAAGATTAGTGATTAGGGTGATTAGATGAATATAGTGGGAACAACAATAATGTGATAATGATTATATTAACAACGAAACTACATTTATTCATGACTAATATTGATAATGTTAATAGTTATGACGGCAATAATAATAATTGTTATCATCACAATCCTAATAATCAATCAACATTATAAAGATATCGATGAAAATAATGAAATAGATATAACACTGTAAAGTAAATGATGAGGGACAGTAATTATCATATTACGAAAAGCTAACGAAATTAATATATAAAAAAACAAGAATGCTGATGATGGCAACGTTGACAATAATGATAATGATGATGAAGATAAGACGAATGGTAATAATAGAGAGAACGATATTGATAATAATAAAAAATAATGTTACTATTATTACAATTAACAGTAATGGGGATAATAATATGAGTGTTTTATGAGAATAAAATGTATTCTTATATCCTCTGACTTACCTTTTCTATTTGTCTATGGTGTACATCCACATTTACCTCATGTACCACATTTAATATTACTCTCGCCTCTTCCTCTGCGGCTAAATCACCTCCGTTCTGTTTCTCACTTTTTTCTTTCTTTTTTTGTAATTATTGTAATCTATTTTCACACAAATATTCTCTTCACTTTTCTTCTCGATCTCCTATAATTAATTCTACTGTGTACTCATTTTTTGTATGTGATATAATTCTTCATTTAATTTCTATGTATTGATATTTTCTTTACGCTCAATATATATATATATATATATATATATATATATATATATATATATATATATATATATATATATATATATATATATATTTTTTTTTTTTTTTTTTTTTTTTTTTTTTTTTTTTTTTTTTTTTTTACATTCAATGCTTAAGTGCATTATCGGCAAAACATCGTATTAAAGGTCAAGTCAGGGCGGCCGTAGAGATAAAGAGGGTCTTAGATTGTGTGTGGAAAGACCTCTGGATATTTAGGATAGTTACCCCACTCACTAGTGTTTCTCTCTCTGTGGTGGTATAAGTTTGTACATTGGCCTGATAAATATGTGGTGTGCTGTCGTTTGTAAATTGTCCTGATAAGTATGTGGGGGTATAAGTTTGTACAATGGCCAGGTGAATATATCGTGTGTTGTCGTTTGTATATTTGTCCCGGGAAGTATGTGTTGGTATAAGTTTGTACATTGGCCAGGTGAGTATGTGTGTGCTGTCGTTTGTAATTTCCAGGTAAGTATGTGGTGGTATAAGTTTGTACAATGGCCAGGTGAGTATGTTGTGTGGTTTGTATTTTGTCCCGGGAAGTATGTGGTGGTATATATATACATTGGCCAGATAAGTATGCAGTGTGCTGTCGTGTGTATATTGGCCAGGTATGTATGTGGTATGCTAGTGTATATGTATTTGGCAGATAAGTATGTGGTGTGCTGTCGTGTGTGTATTGGCCAGGTAAGCATGTGGTATTAGGCAGATAAGTATGTGGTGTGTTGTGCTGTCGTGTGTGTATTGGCCAGGTAAGCATGTGGTGTAGATATACATTGGCCAGATAAGTATGTGGTGTGGTGTCGTGTGTGTATTGGCCAGGTAAGTATGTGGTATGCTAGTGTGTATGTATTGGGCAGATAAGTATGTGGTGTGGTGTCGCGTGTGTATTGACCATATTATATGTTGTGATGTCATTTGTACATTGACCAGATGAATATGTAGTATGCTGGCATGCGTATATTAGGTATATTCAGATGACTGTGTTAAGTGGTGGTATGTATGGATACTTATTCCTATGTTGCCTTTTATTCAATGTTAGCAATTCTCTTTTAAACTGTGTCCGCGTATGATTAAAAAAAAAAAAAACTTGCCAATTCTACAATGCCTATGAGTATCATCATATTCGGTGCCCTAGACCTACCATGTGGAAATATGTTGTTAGCGTATTATCAAAATAGTAATTGCAGTGGAATAGGAATGAGGGTAATGATGATGATAATGGCAATAGCAATAACAGAATTAATATTAATAGCAACAGTGATGATGGCAATGATAGTAATAATAATGATGATAACAGTAATGATTATGATAATAATTATGATGATAATAATGATAATGATAAAAATCAAAATTGTAATGATAACAATAATAATAATAATAATAATGAAAATTATTATGCCAATAATGATAATGATAATGGTGATAAAAATAACAATAACAACAACAAAACAACAACAAACAACAACATAATAAATAATAATAATAATAATAATAATGATAATAATCATAATGATAATGACAATAATAATGATAGGTAATAGTGATTATGATAATTATGGTTAGAATTATTAAAATGATCATAGTAATGATAACAATAACAATAAGAATATTAACAAAAAGTAAGAAACAATAATATCAATAT